AAAAAAAAAAAAAAAAAAAAAACAACGGCTATGGCTAACGGACGAGGAGGAGATGAAGAGGAGGAGGAGGAGGAGGGAGAAGAAGAAGAAGATGACGAAGAAGAGGGAGGAGAAAAAGAAGAGGAGGAGGAGGAGGAAGAAAAAATGACGAAGAAGAGGGGAGAGAAGAGGAGGAGGAGGAGGAGGAGGAGGGAGAAGAAGAAATAAACGCAAGGGTAGTTAAAGCAGCAACGGAAAAAAAAAAAAAAAAACAGCTATGGCTAACGGACGAGGAGGAGATGAAGAGGAGGAGGAGGAGGAGGGAGAAGAAGAAGAAGATGACGAAGAAGAGGAGCAGAAGAAGAGGAGGAGGAGGACGAGGAAGAACGCAAGGGTAGTTAAAGCAGCAACGGAAAAAAAAAAGAACGAAAAAAAAAACGGCTATGGCTAATGGACGAGGAGGAGATGAAGAGGAGGAGGAGGAGGAGGAAGAAGAAGAACTTCAAGATGACGACGAAGAAGAGGGAGGAGAAGAAGAAGAGGAGGAGGAGGAGGAGGAGGATAAGGAGGAGAAGGAAGAAGAAGAAGAACTCAAGCCGATGGCTAAGAGAGGAGGACTAGAAGATGTAAGGATTGAGCCCTCAAGAAGGGGCCTTGCCATGATGTACATGTTCTGGGCTAAGGCCCCAGCAAGCCTAGTGCCCGCCCTAAGTGAAGGCGGGCCAGCAAATCAACAAGAGCCCTCTGTGCAAACATTTCACGAAGTGGGGTCCATACAGTTGCAGCACGCCAGTTGGTAGTGCACCGAGTATCGGAGCTCTGCAAATGGAGAAACCCAGGGCATCAACAGGATCATCTCCCGATTCAGTCAGGATTGGTTGGGAGGAGAAAGAAAAGGATGGGTGGCGGAGGTAAGATGGTCTGAGAATTGCCAGCAGGGAGGAGAGCTGCAAGAAGGACACCGGATGGAGATAGCAAGAGATTATCAGCTGATCTTCCATGAGTGGACAAACCTCGATCCTGGTGAGAGGTTACGCCCGGCTCAAGAATTTGCAGACCCCTTCCCCCCAATTTGCTCACAGTAACCCAGTCCGGTGGAACCGGCCCGCCTCTGTTATCTTCGTTCGGATTTTTTTCGGTCTACCTTCTGGCTACTTGATCCTGCCCTCGTCTTCTGCGGTCCCCTACTCCTCCGTTCTGCTCTCTTCCCCTGCCTCCTTCTGTCCCTTCTCTGGTTGTCTATCCCTGTTTATCCCTGTTCATCTCTGCTCACCTCTGTCTATTCTGTCCATTCTGTCTCTCCCAACACAAACCCAGTCTCATGGTTAGTAGAGGGACAGCAGCAGATGGTGGCTGGATGAACAGCACCGATATGGGACGCTGGACCCGGTTTCCAGCATTGGCAATGTACTGTCTGGTTCAGTTTTTTCGGTTACAGACCGCAGCAGATGGATACACTGCAGGATTGGTTGACTGAACAGCACTGATATGGGATGCTGGACCCGGTTTCCAGCAGTGGCGATGTCCTGTCTGCCTCAGCCCTTCTGATAATTCCAAATATCGAGAGGCGCCACATTGGTTGGATGAACAGCACAAATATGGGATGCTGGACCCGGTTTCCAGCATGTGCAATATACTGTCTTTCCCAGCTTTTTCAGATAGTTTCAAAATAACGAGGCGCCAGAAGGTGAGTAGGTGGATGGCAGGGGCTGGGGTTGGAGGAGGCTCCACTGGTGGCCCCCAGTGGGTCCCCCCCCAATACCCGAGCCTGCTGCATGATAGGTATGGTATAGTGGATGGGATGGGAGGCTGGACCCAGTTTCCAGCGCAAAGGCGCCACGTTTAGAATGCACTGCTTATTCAGATGTATTTAAGGGACGCTGGACCCGGTTTCCAGCAGGTGTTGCTCCCCACCAATAGATGGAGCGGCCCGCCAGGCAAGCCTCAATCCCGGTGGTTCTCTTACCACCACCAGGATAGAGGCCTTGCATATGGGCCTTCTCAAAAAAAAAAAAAAAAAAAA